TTAGGGTCATATGATGAGTCTCTATGTATTAACTTTTGGGGCAGTGGCTGACCTGTTGCCCAAAGTGGCCATACCACTCTGCATCCTTACAAGTGGTGAATGAATGATCAGTGTATAAGGATTCCAGCTGTTTCATACCCTTGCCAAAAGGTGGTATTGTCAGTATTTTAAATTTTAGCCATTTTATAGTGTATGTATGATGCTTTTTCACTGGGCTTTAATTTTCATTTCCCTAATAACCAATGATGTTGAGAATCTTTTCACGTACTAGGTCATTCACATCTTTTCTTTTGTGGATTATCGCTTCAAATCTTTGGCCTATTTTTCTGTTGGGCTGTTTCCCTCCTTGTTATTGAGTTTAATGAAAGCTTCCTATATTACAGATAAAAGTTTTTGTCAAATATGTTTTATATATATAAAGCATATTATTGTTTTATGTCAGATATGTTTTATATATATAAAACATATTATATAAAACCCTTTACTCCTAAAAGGGCTTGTCTTTTTTTTTAATGGTGTTTTTCAATAAGCAAACTGCTTTAATGTTTTAAGTTCAATTTGTCAGTTTTTTTCTTTTATGGTTCATCTTTTTTTTTGCCTTAAGAAATTTGCCTATCTCAAGGTCATAAAGATTTTCTCTTATTTTCTTTTAAAAATGTCTTACATTAAGGTCAATGACCCACTCTAACTTAACTCTTTGTGTACGAAGTGAGGTAAAGGTCATGTTTACTCTTTCCATATAGATATCCACCTATTCCAAAACCATTTATTAAAAAAAAAAAATACTACCTGTTTAGTGTTTTTGTGAACAACAACAAAAAAAATCAACTGATGTTTTCAACGTGAGTCTATTTCTAGATTCTTATTCCTGCCCATTGACCTCCATATCTATTACTTCTTTGACTTATACATTTTTTAGGAATATGTTTTTCAATTTCCACATATATGAGATTTGCAATATTTCTTCCTATTCTTCACTTCTAACTTAATTCGTCATCACTTCTAACTTAACTCTAAATGATTTCAGTCAAGGTCCACTGAGACTTATTTTATGGCTCATTACAGGGTCTATTCCCCATGTGTGCTTACAAAGCAAGTATTTTATTCTGTAATTTTGAGGAGTGTTCAACAGATGTCAATTAGGTCAAGCTGGCTGACAGTGTTCAAATCTTTTATACATGCTTGCTGATAATCTATTTACTTGGTTCTAACAATTACTAGAACAAAGTATTGAAATCTCCACCTATAATTTTTATCTATTGTCCCTTTCTATTCTATTAGTTTTGCCTTCATATATTTTGAAGCACTGCATTATTTTTATCATCAGACAACATATAAAGTCACAAATAAAACAGCAATCTTTCTTTCGCATGTAAGATCTTTACAGTTAAGATATATAGCAATTTCCAAGGTGAAAAGATAGCAAGCACAAAATTACAAAGTATTTAATCTAAATATATTAAAGTATAAAAAGTACTATAAAATTCAAAGAAATTACTCTTCTATATCTAGATAGCATATATTTCTTAAAAAAAAAAGTACAGCTATGGACATATGCAATTTAACTTCACTCTCCTCTCAATTCTTTATTTCAAATAAGCTTTATTTTATTTGTAAACAATTTTGTCTAGTGTCAATATAAAAAAGTTATTTCCTATGATATCTAAGTAGAATAGTTCATATCTTACTGGCTTCATGTTTCAACTGTTAAAAATGATCAATTTTAGGAAAAAATGTGAAAAATATACACAATTTCTTAAATCAAGGATAACACAAGGTTCTTAAAATGCACTTTTCACTAGAAGCACAATTATTATGAGTCAAATTCAACAGTGCAGACACCAAAGTAATTCTACAAAATGATAATAGCCAAAAAATAATATTTCTAAGGGTAAAAAAGACATAAAGCATGACTGAAAAATAGCTCACTCCAATAACCCCCTCATTATATTAGGGAAGGAAGAATTACCTTCTCAGACTGTTTTAAAAGCCCCATAGCCTATATGGCAAATAATATAAACACTATCAACAAATTACAAAATCATCTAACCTATGTTTATATCAATAATAACTATAAAATAAGTATAAATTTCTTTGTATGAGATATGATCCAATCACTTTATAGGTACTAGCTCATTTGTATGCATGACTACCTCTAAAACTAACATCTAAAGGTTTCAATTTTTTAAATGCACCTTAAATGATTCAGTTATAAATAAAATATCTATTGCTATTTGACTTCATTCTGCTAAAAGGGAGAACATGGAGAGAAAGAGCCTTTGATCCAGGTGTCCCTCAGACTGAGTTATTTCATTACCCATGATGTAACACAACTTCTGAAACTCAGTTCAAGGTGCCCTTATCAACTGACCAGTCTGTTTTCACAATGCCAAGGCTATGAGCCAACTGCCTAAGCAACAACAGATTCCTTTTAACTAAAAATATGGTTCTAGTATCCCATTAAAAGGGCTCCCCAGGTGACACTAATGGTAAAGAACCCTTCTGCCAATGCAGGAGACTTAAGAGTTTGATCCCTGGTGAGGGAAGATCCCCTGGAGGAGGGCAAGGCAACTCACTCCAGTGTTCTTGCCTGGAGAATCCCAGGGACAGAGAGGCTTGGCAGGCTAGAGACCACAGGGTCACACAGAGTCGGACATGACTGAAGTGACTTAGCAGGCACACATGAATCCCATTAAAAGCAAGTTAAGAATTCTTAATCTAAAACTGAATTTGAATGTGTGATGTTAAGATGATGCTAAGTCCCTTGGACAGCAAAGAAATCAAACCAGTCAATCCTAGAGGAAATCAACCCTGAACATTCACTGGAAGGACTGATGCTGAAACTGAAGCTCCAATACTTTGGCCACCTGATTTGAAGAGCCGACCCATTAGAAAAGACCCTGATGCTGGAAAGACTGAAGGCAGGAGAAGGGGATGACACAGGACGAGACGGTTGGATGGCATCACCGACTCAATGGAAATGAGTGTGAGCAAGCTCGGGGAGATGGTGAAGGACAGGGAAGCCTGGTGTGCTGCAGTCCATGGTCGCAAAGAATCAGACACGACTGAACAAATGAACAAGAAAGGTGTACCAACACAATGAATGGGGTCAAAGGTATAGAGAGCTGAGGACAGCCAAGAGCAAGGCTCAGTGATCGAAAAGGTACCTCGGAGAGCGGAAAAGTCAGTCAGTCACCCACCTTTTAAAAAGCTTCTTACAATCACCAATGATCCAACATTTCTCCTGTTAATCAGGTCAGCATTATTCCCATTTCAGAGACAAAGAGGCTGGGAGGGGTGCTGAGTGACGTGTTCAGGGCTCAGAGCCCAATGACAAGCACTGCCTTGCGAGCAGGTCTGAGTCCCACTCCTGGCTTCTATCAGCAATCACCCCTGCCCCTAGACACTTCTAAGACAAAGAAACACCTGCAAGAATCTTTACATCAGAGACCAACCTCACAGTTATTATGCAACACCAAAGCGCAGTTTCTGAAAACAAGATGGACAAATTATTCTCACACATTTTTAAAATATTTTCTACCAAAACTATCAAGAGATCCTTCAAATCTAACAGTTACAGGAACTATTTTTAATAAAAACAAAACCAACCAATATGAGTGCTAGCTTCATTTTTGTTATAAGGGTACTCTCCCCACTCCCAGCCCTGGTGCTCTATTACTACCATGGTTTCCTTTTTTTTTTTTTAGTTTCTATTTTTTACAAAATTCAGAGTTAATCTTACCGACACGCCAGTTACAAGTAAAAAAAAAAAGTGAAATATACATAAACACATTCAGTGGGAGTAGAAAACAAGACAATGAAAAGGGAAAGGAGAAGAGAAAGAATCATAATCTAGTATTATTTCTTGGTAATAACCTCAGTCTTTTATGCCAAAACTGCACATCCAGAATTCTAAAGCAAGGATAACCTAGCAGACATGCTTGTGGAAGTATGTCCTCTGGGAAGGCATTCTCGCTGAGGTCATGGTTTCCATCCTGGTACACACCAGTTAACTCTGTCCTGTTTTACAGCCAGACAGTACAAGGCAAATGTCTTTCCGAAGTCTGTACATATACACCACTAGATTTAAGTTATAACATACATCCTTTATCTAAGTCTCCATAACTTAAATTGACTATTATCACGGGGTGGGGGAGGCGATTCAAAGCACAGTTCTGTGGACATGGAGCAACAGGAGCAACTGAATAAACCCTAACCAGACATGAGATGCTTAAAAATGTTAGAACTCGTCTTAAAACAGAGATTCTTACTATAGGATCTATGGATTGGCTCTGTGTAAGCAAAACAGGCATATATGTTCATTTTTAGAGTACGAAGGTGCATGGCTACAACTAGATTCCTAAAGGGGTCCAGATACAAAACAAAGCTAAAAACAAATGTATGTAATTATCTTGGCGGAAAAAAAAACAAACCTGTAAACTACTGGAGAGGGTGCTATTTTATTACCGTACGTGATTTTTAGCCAAAATTTTCTTTTAGAGGTTTGATTCCAAATACTCTGGATTGTAATCATCCAAAACTATGCCCATTCTTTGCACATGTATTATCTTTGGTAAGTATTACATCTTCAGGCTACTTTCTTCCACCCAAAAAATTGTTCTCAGAGAATGAAAATACATTTTAAATACCAAAGTTAAGAACAATTGGAAAGTGAAATTCTTTTTAAGCATAATAAGAATGCATGTACGAATGCATGCACGCATGTACGAGTGCATGCATGAACGCATCTCAAGACCAAACTCAAATGACCTTTGTACTGCAGTTTCTACCATGTGCACTACCTCCTTTAACACAAGCAAATCAACTTTCTCCCCGAAGCTGACTAAATATGTGCATGTGGTTAAAGCCAAAGATTTTCTCACCATAAAGAAATATTCCTCATCTTGTTTAACTCATGCCTTCTCTTGTTAAATGTAACTTGTAAACCTCCTTTAATGTGATCTGAAATTCTGAATAAATTACCAAATACTAAAACCAAATCAAAACTATGATAATTTTTCTCTTCAAAAACTTATTTTACACATCAATCCCATGGTATACACATGATGAGCTTTGTGTCAGCTTACTAGGCACAAGCTTCAAGATGAGTGTGTGAGAGGTCACTTTCAGCATCGCGTCTACTATGTAGCTTGTTCTAAAGTGACACATGTTCCCTGGGGATTCTCACTGCAGATTGGAGGAGGAAAGATGTACATGCCTTTCCCCATGAGATTCATGGATGTGTAGGGTTCTAGCACAGTGGCTAAAACTTCATTTCACTTTCAGAACTTTCTCCCAGTACTTGCAGTTAAAAATAGTACAGGTCACGTTGGCGGGGATATTTTTATCTGGAAAATAGGGACTAGAAATAGCATAGTAAGCATAGAAAGGAGAGTTGACCACAATAGGATGAAAATGCTCATAGACTTCCAAAAAGTCTTACAGTAGTTAGATGACATGGAAAGAGGGGCAGCGGAGGAGAGAGGTACAGGTTGAGGGCAATTTACTGAGTGTTAACATATGAATAATAAATAACAAGAACAATGAAAGGTTTTCCATCTTGTGTAAGACAGAAGAGTATCCTTGTCCTTAGAACTTTCTAGAGAAGATACTTCAGGAATAAAAGATATATAAAGTTTTTGAGAAAAGCGAGATCACTGGAGGTTCAGGGTTGAGGGAAATATGGGGATGGGGAATGGGACTTAAGCTAGATGTAAAAGGATGTAGAATTGTGGGAGCATAAACCAGTCAAAGAACTCACAGATGTAATGAGGCGTGACAAGGAAAGCAAGAAGGCAGAAAATAGTTGTTTGCACCAATATATCAGGAATTATTTTTGATATTTTATGGTCATTCTTCCTCAATTTTCTACAGTGGCTTTACTTTCAACAGCAGGTTTAAATCAAGATGTTCTGTTCCTCATTTTATTCTGAAGTTTAATTTAAACTTATCCTTGTCTGTCACGTTGAACCATCCAATTTTCTCCAATGTTTCCCTAAATTTCAGAATCTGCGTAATTCTTTTCAGGTGGATTTGTATCTACAAGCCATCTTGAGTGAGCACAGCCCTACTCCTGGACAGCACCAGAAGCGCCTCACGATGTCCTGCAGGGATCCCACAGCAGCCCCAGGGCGGGCGCGTGGAGCGCGTGGTGCCAAGACGCCAGAAAGCCTCCGGAAAGGGAAGGATGGCACTGGGAGGTCAGCAGCAGGAGCAGTGAGCGCGGCCAGCTTGAAGGAATGTGGAAAAGTAGAGCATGGAACTTTTTTCTTCTGGCTTTGGCTGCGAAATAAGTGTCAACAATTTCTGCTATAAATGGAAGCTTAAAAAGTGGGGCAAGAGGAGAAATGCAGGAGAGTCAGAGCAAGACAAAACAGAAATTATTTCCTTCCAATTGCTCAAGCCAAAACCTGGAAGCGTTCTCAACTCCTTCCTTTCTCTCATTCCTCCATCTAATCCATCAACAAATCTCACTGACTCTACTTTCAAAATAAACCCAGAATTCTCTGCAGCTCTGCAGCTCCTACCCTAACGTAAGCCACCGCCTCTAAAGCCAAGGCTGTTCCAAGAACTTCCTTCCCGGTTCCCCTGCTTCCACCCTTGCCGCCTCCTGTGCACTCTCACACAGCAGCCCCCAAGACCTTCCAGAACAAACTCTCCAGTGGCCTCCCACAGCACCCAGCACAGAACCCAGGGCTCTCGCCAGGGCTCAGGGTCGAAACACTCCATGAGATGACCCTGTTTCCCGGCCCCTGTTCGCTGACCATGTCTGTCATGCTCTCACTCTCTCCCTCCGCTGTGACCGCAGTGACCTTCTCCTCACTGTTTTCTCAACACACCGAGCACGTTCCACGTCAGGGGCACTGTTCTGGCTATTTAATGCCTTTACTTGGAATGTTCTTCTCCCACGTTTCCCTAGAACCCAGCCCTTCACCTCATTCGAGTCTTTTGTAAATATATTATTTAACCAATCCTATATAAAAGAATACCCTCCTTGATCATCACTGTCAATTTTTTGTCTTAATATTTACCATCTAACATATCATGTACTTACTTATACATCTCTTTATTAACTCACTCTCCCACTTTATTAACTCCACTCTCAAGTGGAATTTATGCTCCATGAGATTAGGGGCATTTTTGTTTCCGTTGTTCAGGTACTCCTAGCCCTGAGGATAGCACCTGTACAAAGTACTCACTTCATATTATTTGGTGAATCGACAAACAAATAAAAAGATTATAAAAACAGGACTCAGAGAATATGACAAGAAGGAGCCAAGAGTACATGTATTTTGCTTTGGAAAAGAAACTAGATTGGGGACACTAAATAAAGAAAATGGAAAATCCAAACCTAAGAAAATTTTATAGTGATTTCTATGAGCCAACAGACAGAGGGTACGCATACAATCCAAGCTCTTCAGAAATACAACTGTGGGGCTTCCCTACGAGTCTAGTGGTTAAGAATCAACCTGCCAATGCAGGGGACACAGGTTCAATTCCTGATCTGGGAAGATCCCACATACTGTGGAGCAACGAAGCCTTTGCACCACTACTGAGCACACTCTCTAGAGCCGTGTGTTCTCCCTGCCCTGTGCGCGCACTCCCTGCCCCGTGTGTGTGCTCCCTGCCCTGTGCGCGCACTCCCTGCCCCGTGTGTGTGTGTGCTCCCTGCCCCGTGTGCGCGCACTCCCTGCCCCGTGTGTGTGCGCTCCCTGCCCCGTGTGTGTGCTCACTGCCCTGTGTGCTCCCTGCCCCGTGCGCGCGCTCCCTGCCCCGTGTGTGTGCGCTCCCTGCCCCCTGTGTGCGCTCCCTGCCCCGTGTGTGCTCCCTGCCCGTGTGTCTGCTCACTGCCCCGTGTGTGTGCTCACTGCCCCGTGTGTGTGCTCACTGCTCCACAAGAGAAACCACCAGTGAGAAGCCCATGCACCACAACTAAGAGGAGCCCCTGCTCATCACAGCTAGAGAAAGCCCAGGGGCAAGAACAAAGGCCCAGCACAGCCAAAGAGAAATAAGGACATTTTCTTCTTTTTTTTTAAGAAATAAAACTGTGACTTGGTTCTGAAAAAATGTGATAATTGAAATACAAAACATTCCAATAAAGATGGCAGAACAATTCAGAGTCTGGATTAAGGAATATGGTATGAAACAAACCATTGTAAGAGAAGACTTTGGTTAATCATTTGTCGGTTTTTTTTTTTTTTTTTAATTGTTTCTTTGTTTTGCTTTTTAGACTGGAAAGTTTTTAGCTGGAACAGAAAGAGTCAAAGACAAGCTATGAATATGGTTCAATACGATCTGAAGGCCATCCTGTAGTCACAGACAATGTTTTCAAGTGCAGAAACAAGGGCAAAGTGGAAAGGGAGGTAGAAGACAAATGCAGCATTAAAGTGCATGTATGTCCAGTGCAACACTGTCCAGGAATGTGTGCAAATGAAAGGCAGACTGAAACAGTGGGTGTTGCTTTAAAAGCCTGAAGAGAAAAATTAAATAAAAACAACTAAGCTGATACCATCAATCCAAAGGCATACTGGGAAGGCTCAGGCTTCAGAAAACATGCTAGAAGATGAACAAAGACAGATTTCATGCCTGATAGGGGAAAAGGGGGAAAGGAAAGCAGAGAATGAACACATAAATCAGAAACACAGAGCAGGAAGACAGTTCCAACTAAGGAAGTAAGAGACAGCAGGCCTGCTTCAGGGAAAATGGCTTGAACAGCAGAGCAAAAACAAGAGGTGAATAAAGAACACCTAGGGTAGTCAGGGAGGAATTAGAGAGAAGAGGAAAATTTTAACTAGAATATCAGATAAGCCAAACAAACTACAGAGAGATGGGAATAAAAGGGAGAAGGAAGTCATAAATGTTCAAGTATAGCCTCAAAAATGGCACAAAACACGCCAAAATTAGTTAAGTGGGAAGAGTTAACTTCTATAGGATATGCGGCATCAAGTTGCAGATAGAAGAATGAAGTCAGTCAAAAGTCAATGTTGTCACTCACCAGCCCTCTGACCTTGAACAAGTCACTTAACCTCTCTGGGACTTATTTGTGTGTGTGTGTGTGTAGGGGGAAGTAAAAAATGGGTGATCATTCTTACTCTTTTTTTCCTCCAGCTTATTAAAGAGGGAAAGACAAAAAGAAAAAAGAAAAAAGAGGGAAAGACAAGAAAAACACAGAACTCTTTTAAAGAAAGAAATCAGAAAATTTTAAATGAGAAAAGTTAACGACAGTTTTGCATAGTGCTTTACAATTTAAAAAGTGCTTTTACACGCATGATTATACACACTCCTCACAGGAAGCCTGAGAGACAGAAAAGGCAGGCATCATTTAACACCATGTCCAAATGGAGTAACTGAGGCTCAGAAAGATTAAGCCACTGTCTCAAGGACACAGAAACACTGGCAGATCCAGGATCCACCCCAGGTCTCATCACAGCACCAGGTCCACCATCCTTCTGAGTTCAGACGGCCTCCTCCTGCGTGCCTAAGGTGTTTCAGCACACTTCTGACGCTTATCAGATAGGAGATAAAGGAAGAGTTATACACATTTAAATAACAATCTGCCAATTAAAAATAAAACTCCTTTAGAATTAAAGAAACTACCCCACATATGAACTAATTCACCATACAAAATGTATTTTCTACAAAGGTGAACTTGTCTGTCACAACCTACAAAGACTATTCTTTCAGGGGTTTCCCTGGTGGCTCAGTGGTAAAGAATCTGCCTGCTGATGCAGGAGACCTTGATCCCTGACCCAGGAGGACGTCACAAGCCTCGAAGCAACTGAGCCCATGTGCCACAGCTACTGGGTCTATGCTCTAGAGCCAGGAGTCCAACTACTGAGCCTGAAGCCAGTCCACCCAGAGCGTGTGCTCTGCAACGAGAAGCTGGGGTATCACAACTAGAGAGCAGCCCCCCCTCGCCGCAATGAGAAGAGACTGCACAGCAGTGAAGATCTAGCACAGCCAGAAATAAATAACTAAAATTTCAAAAAAGACTACTCTTTCAGTCCACCTGCATCTCTTTTAAAACAACAAAATATTATGCAAAATTGTTTTTACTTAAGTTGTAACGTTTTCAGCCTTTCTGAATACAGAATAATTGACTTTGATCTTGAACTATAATATAGCAATTAAAACATTAAACAAGCTGCTTCAACTAGTACATCCTGGGAGCCAAGAGTATAGAGAAAGTGGCAGAAGTGAATTGAGAGACAGTTTTGTTTGGTTTTCTTTGTAGTATCTAAGAGGACTGACACCACATCTCTGTGGTAGTGATGATAAAGGATCAGGTCTTTCCTTATCTGGTTCTTTGCTCTAAAAGCCATAATCAGCTAGAGCTGCCCAATTAACTGTGGGACTGGTGAAAAATCTCAGGAATACAATCTGCTGCTTATTGGTCTTATTTTATTACTCCTTAGAGTAAGCTTTAGACAAAACTCGAAAACTACGTATATGATCCTAGCAGTTTTATTTTTAAGGCAAATGCTTTCCTTCAGAGTGGTTAAGAAGCTCCTACTGAACAGTCCCTACTTCCCCAGGACCTGCGCTCCTCTGTATTCTTCCTCTACCTGCTATTCTTACTCTAAGTTAAAGCACCTATGATTTCCCACACAACGTTACTCTTCACATCAGCAGGCCGTGATTCCCTCCTCCTGGACGCCACGGCAAGCCTTCTTGACGGAAGAAAGGGTGTGAAAAAGCATAAAGGATTAAAGGGCAGTTTAAGGGCAGAAAGGAAGAAAATCCCAAAAAAGGACCAGACAAAGTGGAAACTGGAGCTCAGTGACCACAATCATGTTCCTGTTTTTCTCCTTCATGCTCCTCTATTTTTTTCATCCTTCCCTTATAGTTCCTCTTTTAAAGTAGCTGGACAAACAGTGGCCAGATAAGCATACCGGAAGCAGAAACTTGGGAGAAGTTGAAAAAAATACCAAATGAGCCACAGCCAATTATAAATTATACATCATCTCATTAGCAGGCCCTGACATATACAAAGACCATACAGAACAGATACTGTAAATGAAGAACATCAAATCTTGGTCAGAAAACCTGAATTTAAGTCCTGGTATGCTGCAGGATTAGAAGGAGATGGCAACCCACTCCAGTATTCCTGCCTGGAGAATCCCGTGGACAGAGGAGCCTGGCCAGCTGCAGTCCACGGGGTCACAGAGTCGGACACGACTGAGAGTCTCACTCACACACATGTGCTGCAGGATTTCCAACAAATGACCTAACTTTTCTGAGGCTCGCTTTTCTAATCTATAAATAGGTAGCACACACCAACAACCTATTTTACAGAGTTGCTGTGAAAATCTGAGAAAAATACCACATGTTCAAGGCAAGTACCTTTCAGAGTCACCATAATGTTGTAAAGGATAATAAAATACTTAACCGAAGACCCTTTCTTGCAATCACGTTGTTGTTATTCAGTCTGAATATATAGCACCCATATTATGCCTCTCTTAAAGAGTTTTACTGAACAGACTTCCCTGGTGGTCCAGTGGTTAAAAATCTGCCTGCCAGTGCAGGGGATGCAGGTTCGATCCCTGGTCCGGAAAGATTCCACATGCCATGGGGCAACTAAGCCCGTGGGCCACAACTGCTGAAGTCCACACACCCCAGAGGCCGTACTCTGCAACAAGAGAATTCACAGCAGTGAAAACTAGAGAGTAGCCCCAGCTCGTCACAACCAGAGAAAGCCCGCAGAGCAACCAAGACTCAGCACAGCCAAAAATGAATTTTTTTTAAAAAGAGAGAGATATACTGAAATAAGCATGATGAGGCAGATAAATTTAACTGGCTTTTCAGTCACTACCTGAAACAGATACTGTACAGTCACCTAATAAAACTGTTTATATAGTCCTAACATAACTACAGTTATTCACTTACACGGTTAATGCTCTCACAAAATATGTACACCAAACACTAGTTCCAATAGTGTGCTAAGCAACCTATATCTTCTCATTTAATATCCTCCCCATATCCAGTATGGTAGAAAAAGCACCAGGCTTGATGTCTGAATGACCTAAGTGTGAATCCCAGCTACGTTATCCTAAGTGGTAGGTCTTCTCCAGCTAGGAGCTAAAACATCCTCAAACATACAGGAAGAATAATACTACCTACTTCACAGGATTAAAATTACTGTGACCATGTCTGTATTGAGCCTAATCTGGTAACAGCACACTGAGTTTGTTCATTATATGGTGGCTGGTCATTTGACTGCCTTCCCATTCCTGAAAGCAAGCATCTTCAATTTCTTTTAGGAATGCTGAAAATCACACAATCAAACAAGATTACCGAAATCTCTCTCATCCAAGAAGTACAATGAAAGGCAGTCCCTGAGACTATTCACAGATCCTGAAACTGTGTCCCTAAAATTAAGGTAAGCAAGCGTAAGATCAAATCTCAAGAGTTTAAAATCCATCCTTCCTTCACATGATCTGTGTAGTCAGGTGATTGAAAACCTCAATGGCCCTTCAGCCACAAGCACTCCTGAGGAAGGGGGTGGCTATTTTCTAACAGCCTCCCCATTAGGAGACACTTTTGTAAGAGCTGGGCTGACTGCTATCCCTTCCCTGAGAAGGACAGTTAAAAACAGGAAGATCGGAGAGAAGAGGATTTAGCTTAATTTGGAAAGCTAAATAAACTAAGGAAAGCAGATCAAGGAAGATTTAGGACACTATCTTTTTCATGACTTCACCTTAAGCTTGTGCCCCAACTACATACATACTTTGGTCAGTTTTGTACTGTTATATCAATATGCCTTCAAGCTTTTCCTGCTCTAGAGTGTTCATGACTATATTCAGATTTGGTTCATAATAAAGTTGAAAAACATACATGCATGTAAACGAAAATTTCATTAAGGACCAAAGTTGAGGTTTAATCAGGCCCCTTTTTCCTTCCAGCTTAAAGTTAAGTAAGCGTTCAACTTTTTTTTTGAGACTATATTAAGACATGTGCCTTCATCCAGCAAAGAAGCAGCAGTTCATAAATTCGACTTTACATTGTATTTTCTCACCAAATTCTCATGTTTAGAACTTTCCTTATTGCCTATGCTCAGCCTTGAGTCTCACATAACGACTGTCAAAACAGACGATGTGACACACACACAAAAGAACTACTGGGAAGAGTCAGTATCTGTATAAACACCCACGTGTGATGACCTCTCTAAACAATCTCCTCAAACTCACAATATCAGACAGAGATGGATGGTGGAAGAAAGTGGAGTAGAGTGGCCTGGAGTGGAACTGATACAAAGAAAAGACAGACTAAGATCTGGGGAGTCAAATGGAAAGAAGAGTACAAAGAAGGAAAGAGTTTATCATTTACTGCACTGAGGGGGTAAGAGGGATTAGACCAGGTAGGAACGAAAGAAACTGTTAGGGGAAAATCTACAACTGTAAAGAGAAAACAAAGAGATTTCATCAAATTGAGACGTTAGAGTGAGCCCTCCCTCCTGCTCCAATTCCGTATTTTTTTCCAGGAAGCTAAACAGTTCTTTTTCTACAGAGGGATTATACTAACAAAAGCAAATAAAGGAAACCTATGCTAAAAATGTAACCTACCTACACAGAGAGGTCTGAAAACGGAAATACTTCTTCTCCTGTTTAGTAACGGCTTTCAAAACAGTAGGGACAGGGAGATGGATGCGAGCTCTAAAAGGGGGAGGGGAGAAGCCAAGCTCTTCCTGAATGCAAGGAGTCTTTGGCCTACATGCTTATTTTAGATGTACCTTTTCTTGGTCAGTTGGCAGATTCTTAACTAAACACACAACTTTGGACTGTGGAAGCCAGAGTCTGATGAGTGGTTCAAAGCGCATGGGGACTTTAGGAGCCGATGCAAACACCAGCCCGAGGCAGAACCCAGCACTTGCTCTGGGTTGCACTCCGATAATCCCCATCGCGCGGCTACAACTCCAGCGACGTTTGAAGCGACTAAAACAGTGTACACAAAACAGCAGCGTTCAAGGGGAGCCTAAGTTTAGCCAGAAGACCATGCAATTAGACAAAGTGCGTGAACCGGTAGTAGGTGGATGATATCCGTTTTCTCCACGGGTTGCTGCACAAGAAGGAAATCCCTTTCACACACAGAAACCGCGCTGCTCGCCCCGCGCCCACCCCTAGCACACACTTACTTTCGTCCGGCCATTGATTTTGTAGTTGCCCAGCTTCCCGTTACAGTGGCGGATCAGGTCGTCCATGTTGTTCATGAGCAGCCCGATGGTTTCGCAGCCGGGCTCCTTGCCCTCGATCCAGGTGATCTTATCGCCTCGGATGTCCTTGGACGAGTCGCTCTTCTGGCTGACCAGCTGCCCGTCCGTGAACTTGCCCGTGTCGTGCAGGGCGCGCACCTCGTCGCCGATCTGCTGGCCGGTCTCCTTGCCCAGGAAGTCGTCCACCACGCAGATGCCGTGCTTGTTCATGCAGGGCACGATGTACTCCAGCGCCAGCTTCAGTGCCGGCATCGGCTTCGTCTGCCCGTTGGGCCTCAGGCCGCCGTGGCTCAGCCCCTCGCCCGGCGCGTTACTCGGCGGGTACAGGTTCGCCTTCTCCTGGTACAGCGACGGGCGGGCCAGCAGCTCCTCCTTCGCGGGCTCCGCCTCGGCGGCCGCCGCTACCCGACCCTGGCCGCCGGGGGCCGCGCGGGGCGGGGACGAGGCCGCCGCGGGGTCGGCCGTGGGCTTGGCCTTCGCCTTCGCCTTGGCCGCGTCTCCGGAGGCCCGCGGGCCCGCGGCCTCGACGGCTCGGTCCCGGCGCGGCAACGCCTTCCTGGCCTCCCTGGCTCCGGCGGCCCTGGGCGGCGGCGCGCGGCCCGGCTGCTGCGGTTGGCCCGTGCCGGGGGCAGGAACGTTCTCGCCGACCTGGCACACGAGCTTGTGCTTCTTCCAGTCCTGGCGCTGATGCTCCTTGCTGCAGTAGAAGGAGCTGCGGCGGCGGCTACAGCGCAGCAGGTTCTCCGTCTTCNCCCCCCGCCCCCGCCGACCCCGCCCCGAGCGGGCCGGGGACGCGGAGGGGCAGGCCCGCGAGCGGCGGAAACGTGGGGGCCGCGCCGCCGCAGCGGGACCCGCGCCCCGCACGGTGCCTACACCTGCTGGGCAGAGCGCGGCCGCGGAGTCGCCGCGGAGCTGGGCGGCCTTAATATGGCTGCTGTTTGTGTGGGACCAACTGGGTGTGTTCCAGGCGCGCTCCAGACTAGGTTGCAAGGTGGCTGTGGCCATCGTCGCCTTGCGTCGGAGGAAACGGAAATTCAGAGAAGTAAAGAAACTTGCCCAAGGTCACGCAGAACTGGAACTGAATCCAGGAATCAGATTCTGCAAGATTCCAAGGCTCCTTTTTCCATTACACGAAAACAAGGTGTATTGTATTTCAAGAAGGCCTGAAATAGTTAAAAGCAAAAATAAGTATTGTGTGGTGTCAACCCAAGCCCCTGTGCCCATTTTGAGCCAAATTTAAAGGTACTGAAGTGTGGTGTGTTTTTTTTTAAACCATTTTTAAGCCCTGTGAAATCTTGCCGAGTTTAAAACCTCGTGAAAAAATGTTTGGCTACCTAGTTAATTAAGGTAATCAGTGCTCACTTTTAGGCCTTCCCTGGTGGCTCAGATGCTAAAGCGTCTGCCAACAATGCGGGACACCCGGGCTCAATCCCTGGGTCTGGAAGATCCTCTGGAGAAGGAAATGGCAACCCACTCCAGTACTTTTGCCTGGAAAATCCCATGGACGGAGGAGCGTGGTGGACTACAGTTCCTGGGGTCGCAAAGAGTCGGACATGACTGAGCGACTTCACTTCAGTGTCCACATTCAGACACTTAAGCTCAAAACTGCTGCAACGACTCCTGAAAAGTGGATGGGGGCGGGGGCAGGAGGGGTGGCAAATAAGCGTTACTACATTTAAGACTTCTTAAAAATATCTGTTATTAAAATATGTGCTATGCTGATGAATACAATTCCTTCTTTTATAGAACATAAAAACCTTACCAGAAATAATCCAAGGGTGTTTCTTTCTGCCTGCCATTTATTTTTAGAATAAAAAGGGCTGTGATTTAGATTTTTAGTCTTTTTTGAGCACATGCTAACGTGGGAAATGCTGTTAGACTTGTGTATCATTTGAATAGACTGCTGGTAACTTCAGCAATCCTTGAAATTAACAGCACAAGAGCTGAAATGTGTGAGGTTAAAAGCAGAAGACTATAAGGAATTACTCACTTTATAGAATATTTTTAGAAAAACTGGTCTGAATCCAAAAACTCTTGATGAACTACACAGAACTTAAAACTGTCATTAAATTCTCCCATATAAGTAAACAGTATATTGGGGATCCAATCTGGTGAAAGAGGACAGTAATTCCAATTAGCTTGACCTTTAGAATACTCAAGTAAGTATTTTGTCCACAGCTTCAATTTCCAAACCAAACTAAAAATCCAACTCTGTAAAAAATCAAGACTTGGATCTATCTCAGATGTATATCCAACTTTTCCCAGAGCTTTATTAAATAAAGTGTCATTGTTTCATAAATTACTAATTAGACTGTTTAACACTGTATTGAGCTTCCCTCGTGGCTCAGGTGGTAAAGAATCTGCATGCAATGCAGGAGACCCAGGTTCGATCCCTGGCTCAGGAAGAGTCCCTGGAGAAGGAAATGGCTACCCACTTCAGTGTTCTTGCCTGGAGAATTCCATGGACAGAGGAACCTGGCAGTGTACTAGGAGCATGCTGCCTACCAGACTGTCAAGTGTCACACCAGTGAAATAGTTACTCTATGTACACTCAGGAGGTATATAGTTCAATGCAGGAGGCAGAAATGTAAACAAATAATGACAACCTGGAGTTCAGAGTAAATGCCCTAAGACAGAGAACCGGGTAGGGTGGAATGGGAAGAAAGAAAAGGGAATTGCTCAGATGGTAAAGAATCTGCCTGCAATATGAGAAACCTGGGTTCGATCCCTAGGTGGGAAAGATCCCCTGGAGGAGGGCATGTCAACCCACTCCAGTATTCTTGCCTGGAGAATCCCATGGACAGAGGAGCCTGGTGGGCTACAGTCCATGGGGTCGCAAAGAGCCGGAGAGGACTGCAACTAAGCAGAGCCCTGCCCATTGCACTAATCAAGATTTCAAATAGATTAATTTAGGAAGTCTTAAAAATGGCTTTTAAAAGTTAGCTTTTAAAACATTTTGATGTATGCAAATTATAAAAATAAAATGTAATTTCAATACAAGTGAAATCTAAAACTTCTTTGACTTCCTTTTGCATAGTAATGATAACTGATTCTTAACTATTCTCACATTTACTAAGATACAGTTATTCTACAAAGACTTCGATTCTTCTAAATTTAATTTTTTGTAGATATTAAAAGTAGTCCAGCTATATCTTTGAAACTTCCTATTTATGTCTATGGCATTCAAAGAAGTGTATTTACATCTCTGTATGCTTTTTTTTTTCATATATTTCACTGATATCTACTTAATAGCTGTCCATATCAAAACCTTTATTAGCTTTCATTTTGTTCCAATTAAGTATACAAAATCACAAACTAAACATGTCTATGTTGAAGATACTTAGTCGAATGTGACACTTTCAAGGCTTCCATGAGTAGAACGAATATAAAATGTTTCAAATACTTAACAAAGATCACTGATTTCAGAGTTTTCACTTATTCAGGTTTAATAATCTGTAAACTTATTCCAAATTAGTGAAGTTTCACCGAACCATCTGCTGACCATGCAATAGCCAGTGAATGACCAGTTCACCAAGGAGATCCTAGAACTCCTAACAATGTAGCTGTTGTCATTTATTCAAATATTATAGAGAAGATCTACACTGCCATGCAGGAATTTATCTTATAAACCCTATAGAGGTTACTTAGTGCCAAAATCTCTGTTTTAAGCATTTTACAAATATTAACTCATTTAATCTTTATAATCACAAGATGATGACTATTCTTATGTCCATTTATAGAAAATGAAAGGAGTAAGACAATGAAATGAGTAGCACTAGGAGTGTTACCTAATACTTCAGGGAGAACAAAAGCTTGTGTCTCCCCAAGCCAGGAATTAGTACAACTCATTCCCTTCCCCCAAATCTAATCAAAATCAACTGTTCTAAAAATCAAAGAAAGAATTAAAAAAGTAGAACTACTGTCATCACCATATCAGACCAACTTGGACCAAAGCTCACTGTCCACCTCTTTGGTTTTCCTGTGTTCTTCTGGCAATGTTTACTGAAACTATACAGCAGTAACCTCTATGAACTGACAAGAGCCTTCGGAAAAAAACAAAAAGGCAGAGCTGAGGTTAAATGCAAAGGACAGAGTTAAGTGAGGAAATGAATTTAAAGTGACTGTTGACTCTTGAGGAAAACCCAGGGAACAGGCTTTATCTTCAAGGGACTAGTCCTATTTCTCCTTTAAAAATGTTTAAAATGCACAAGAGAGTGTCTTTTCTGCTCAGGAAATCAAACATCTGATTGTTAACTAATGACCTCTTGTTTTCCCATCTGTGACAATCTTGTTTTAATAGGTTACAGAGAGCAGAAAAATCACAAGTATAATATAGGCATCCCACCAAGATAAACAGGAAAGCGATGTTTGAGTTCTGGGAAAAGCAACTAAAAATTTGAGCCATTTTCTAACTATAGTATCGGGACACACACAAGGAGGTGTTGTTGGAAAACAGCACCTGCTCTTCCCTGTACTGGGGGTTCTGCCAGGGGCACACGTGAGCCATGTGCTTTTCCACGTAGTTCAACCAGCGTTACTGTTCACTGAGCTTGTTTCCTTATGAAAATAAAATATTTAGATAGCCTTTCTGTATATGCAGGACAATTTATCTATCACCCACTTTATCAGCTAATGGTTTAAAACTTACCCACTAATCCAGTTAATAATCAACCATCTCAAGAAATATAATGTGAAACTTTACAGCCATTGCTCATTATAATAATTTATAATTCGCCTGCAATGCGGGAGACCTGAGTTCAATCCCTGGTTGGGGAGATCTCCCAGAGAAGGGAAGGACTACCAACTCCAGTATTCTGGCCTGGTGAATTCCAAAGGGAGTCACAAAGAGTTCGACACAACTGAGTGAATTTCACTTTCATTCACTTACTTATTTATACAACATGAGTAAATATAATGGGTTAATGTAGTTACACTGTGAGTTGTGTTTTTTGCTGTTAACAAACATTACTTTAATGTTTAACCAACTTTTAATGTAGTCCCAATCAGTAACTTACACCATCCCAGGTTAAAAACAGCTCCATTTTTTCTGTAACTTTTTTTGTGGAAAAATGTAAACATACACCAAGATAGAGTTAATAGTATAATCAACCTCAGTCTTAATTAGGTCAACAATTATCAGCTTCAACAATTATCAACATTTTTATACTCTTGTGGTCCCCCTATCTTGCCTTTTATTTTGGGGAAAGGGCTGCACTGTGTGGCTTGGGAGACCTTGTTTCCCTGACCAGGGGTTGAACTCAGGCCCATGGTGGTGAAAGTATGGAGTCCTAACCACCGGACTGCCAGGGAATTCCCTCCATTTTACCTTTTTATTTAAATTTATTTTTTTGAGTTATAATTGATATATAATTGTTTTCTTTTTTTTTGTTGTATATTATGATTAATATGTGTATATTTTGTGAAACAATTACCACAGTGAGTTTAGCTAACAGTCATCATCTCACACAATTACGATTTTTTTTTCTTGTAGTGAAAGCTTTTAAGATCTACTCTCTTACCAACTTTTAAACCTGCGATACAGTATTGTTAACTATAGACACTATTCTGTACATTAGAGCTTCAAGACTTACTTATGTGTAACTGAAAATTTACAGCTTTGGACCATTGCACCTACTCTCTACCCACTGCCTCTGGCAACCACTAATCTTTTCTTGGTACCTGAGTCAGATTTTTATTTTAGTTTTTTAGAAATCACATATAAGTGGAATCATACCATATTTGTCCTTCTCTGTCTGACATTTCGCTCAGGATAATGCCCTTGCAGTCCATCAGTGTTATTGCAAAAGGCAAAATACACTTTATTTTTATGGATGAATAATATTCACATATATATATTTATAGTTATACATCACATTTTCTTTATCATTTATCTATCAATGGTCATCTATCAATGGTTATCTATCAATGCATCTGTATCTTGGTAATTTTAGGTAATGTTGCTATGAACATGAAGGTGCAGATATCTTTTCTAGTTAGTGTTTTCA